GAGCGGGGCAGAGGAGGCCGAGGGGGGCTGCGCTCGGGGACCGTGGCGGAAGACGTCGAGGTAAAGGGCTGGGGGGAAACCCGTGCATCGAGGGGATTCGCGGCGAAGCTGTAGGGTTTGGAGAGGTGCGGCGAGGTGGGGCGCGAAGCCCCACAACCAGAGCCCGGCCTCCAGAGAAGGGGCTGCGGGCTTTAGCGACGGAAAGGAAGTGGGAACCGGGAAAGGGGTGTGGTAGGTGGACGGAGAGGGATTGTAGCTGCTGCCGAGAAAGGGGCTTGGAACCCGTGAAGCGAGGATCGGAGGAACTGGGAGAGGCCCACCTTTGAGAAGCGGTGCCCTAGGTTTTTGGGGTGGAAGTGGGAAGGCCCTATCTTTTGTGACTCAGTTTTCCTTTCCTTATTCCAGGTCACCTCTGACCCGTTTTCCCAATCGCAAACATAGTTACTTCTTGAGAGGTGTCTTGGGGCTCCAGTAGCGTGGATCCTTCTAAAACTAATGAGGAGGATAGGGACGCTGAAGGGTTAGGAAGAAAGGGTTTCTGGGAGGATGGACGATAGGAGAAAATTGGGCAACCCTAGGCATTCCGAACAAGTTGTGACCTCCACCCTGAAACCTCAGCGGTCCGCTGCCCCTCAGCTGCGCTGTCTTGAGGTCTCCCTTTGTGGCTGGGGTAGGTACCTTTAAGCTCCAGTCCCTAGGGTGCTGCTCTAGGAGGGTGAGATCTGCTTCAACAACTGGGGTGCTGGTGGTGGCTGCCAGATGGGCCCCTGGGCTGGTCCCTGTGGGGCATCCTCTTTGCCTTTTTGTTGCCATGGCAGTGATCTAGAGGGATGCCCAGTAGGTGGGGGTTCAGGACTAGACCTAGGCTTGGGGATGAGTTCTAGGTCTCTGGCTGGGCTCTGGGGGGGTGTGTTGGTGTTGCCAGAGGGCTGTTGGAGCAGGTAGACATGTCACCTGCAGGTCATTTGTGTCTTTTCAAACCCCTCTACCTAGTATGGTGGGAGAATGAAAACGTTCTTGTTCAGGTTATACTGTCTTGGGTGTGTGTGTGTGTATGTGTGTGTGTGTGTGTGTGTGTGTATCTCAGTGGTAGAGCACTTGCCCAGTATGCACTAGGCCCTGCTTTTGATCCTCAGGACTCGGAAGACAACAAAAACCAAGTTATTCCATTTTTGAGCAATGTATTCTGGGCTCTGCCTCCCTTACTGTGTTTCGAGCACAGTAGTCTTTTTGCTTCTTTGCACTGTTCTTCCATTTTCTTTCTTTCCTTCTTTCTGTTTTTCTTCTTTGTATCCAGGAATTGAAGTCAGGACCTTGTGCTTGTGAGGCAGGCACTGCACCACTGAGCTAAACCCCCAGCCCTGTTCTTCCATTTTCTTAACCTTGAATTCCTCTTTGGTTTTTTGAAACAGGGTCTGCCTATACAGTTCAGGCTGACCTCGAATTTAGGCAATCTTCCTGCCTCAGCCTCTTGAGTGCTTGGATTACAGGCAGGAGCCACCAGGACAGGACTGAATTCTTTGAATTTGTCTCCTCCTCCTTCCCAGACTGTCCCCAGGGTGATCCCATCCCTCATCTAACCTTTGACCTTCTGCTTTTCTGACCTTGTGGGCTGGGTTGGGCTCTCCATACCTGTTCTAGGTGAGGGTGGTTCTGGAGAGGAGGCTGGGAAATAGCTTAGGGCAGTGCAGTACTCTATCGGGAGCCAGATCCAGGAGCCTGGGGTTGGGGCCAGCTGTGCCTCTAACTCCCTGTGACCTTGGGCAAGTCGCTTTCTTGCTTTGAGCCTCACCGAGTGAGATGAAGAGATTACAGGAGAGAGAGAAGATGGAGGCTACTCTGACAGCCCCTGGGTTCTGAGAAGGCTCGGGCTGGGACTCCGTCTTCTGCAGGTCTGGGCTGCCTGAGTCCTAGTCACTCAGACTGGACTGGTTGGGAGGTGTGGAATGAGGGGCTGGGCTGGACTCCTGAAATCATCCTGCCCGCTGCCCCTATTGTATTTCACCTTCAGTTCTCTTGTCCCTCCGGTTGTTTTCCTGTTTCTCCCTGTGCTGCCTCCCCATCTGGTCTGCATCGTTTTCCTTTTGCAGCGAGGCACACAGTAGGTGCCCTCTCCACTCAGGCACAAGGGCTCAGCTGGGGGTGCTGGACCCCAACGCTCAGACGGCTGCTTTTCTCCTTCACATGTACTCCTTGCACAGATTCCAGCCATTAACAGAGTGAGCGCATGTGTATTTCTCTGACCTTTTGGGTCTCCAAGCTCTTAACTCACTTGGTGAGCAGGTTTTGTGATGGGGTGGAGCAGTGGGCATCCTGCTCTAGGAGAGCTGCCAAAGAGCCAGTCAGTCTTCTGTTGTGATTTTTTTGGTACCAGGGATTGAATGCGGGACCTTGTGCATGCAAAGCAGGTGGCAGAACCACTGAGCTAAATTCCTGGCCCTTTCTGTTGTGCTTTTTAAACATTGTTTTTACTTTTTTGGGGGGTGGTACCAGGGCTCAAATTCAGGACCTCGAACTTGCCAGGCAGCTGTCGTGCCCCTGAGCCACATCTTTTGTTCTGTCAGGTTTTGTTCTTTGGATTTTATTGTGGCTGTTCATAATATTAAAACAAAAAAATTTTTTTTTGGTACTGGGGATCGAACTCAGGACTTTGTGCTTGTGAGGCAGTTAGTGGAACCACTGAGCTAAATCCCCAGCTGTGCATTTAATTTTTTATTCTTTTTTTTTTTTTTTTTTTTTTTTTGTTAGGGTATTGTGGCCCTCCTTTTCCCCCCCCACCTGTCTCAGCCTCCCAAGTGCTAGGATTATAGGTGTGCACCACTACACCTGGCTGCCTAGCACAGGACCTGGAGCCCTGTCCCAGCTATGTTGTGACTTTTAGTCCCCCGCTAGTACTAAGGGTTGAACCCAGGGCCTTGGCATTTTTATTCCCCACCCCTTTTTTATTTTGTATTTTAAAACAAGATCTCACTAAGTCAGTTGCCTAGGCTAGGCTTGAATTGTGATCTTCCTGCCTCAGCCTCCCAGAGTACTGGGATTACAGGTGTGTGTGCCACCACAGCTAGCTGTGTTGTGATGCTTACATTAATTGTTAGTAAGTTGCCTGGAAAAGTTAGACTCTTCACTGCCTGCCTCATTATAGTTCAGTGGGGGGTGAGTGAGAAGTAATTACTCTGCATTCCTTGGGGAAAATACGCTATAGAATGTGGAAATGATTCACTTAGCAGGTCTCTAAATATTTAGTTCAGGATGGTGTCGAACTCTTGGTGATCCTCCTGCCTCAGTCTCTCAAGTGCTGGGATCTCAGGTGTGTGCCACCACATCTGGTGTAAAAAAGATCTTCTGACATTACAAGTTAAAAGGTCAGTGACAGCCTAACCTCTGTGGAGCTAGAAAGGAAAATGGCACTTCTTGCTCTCCAAAGATCTCATAGTAGTATGCAGAGACCTGACCCTTAGTGAGAGGTACAAAGGTGCAAATGAAAATGGCTGACTATGGGCACAGACATATGGTGATAGTTGCCTACTCGTTTATTTTTGCAGTACTGGAGGTTGAATCCAGGGCCTTCCCTCTGAGCTCCATCCCCAGGCCTCTCCACTTAAAATTTTTTCCCCTTTAAGTTTATTGGTACATTTAAAGCAAACATTACAGTTACATTTATCATTGGAATTCCCCACTTAAATTTTAAGAGAGGGTCTCCCTGTTTAACTAAGGTGTCCAGGCTGCAGCAAACATTTTTTTTTTTTTTTTTTTGGTATGGGGATTGAACTCCCAGTCCTTGTGCTTTTGAGGCAGGTGCTAGAACCACTGAGCTAAAACCCTGGCCCCATGCAGCAAACTGTCTGTCCTCCTGCCTCAGCCCCCACAGGGCTGGGATTATAGGTGTGTCCATCCCCTGGTCCTGCCTGTGAATGGATAGAGATGGATACACCCTCTCTGCCATGTGTGGGGAGGGTAGGTTTAAAAATTGTCGATCTGCTAACAAAAACTATAAATCTACAAGGCCAGAGATTTAGCTCCATGACACTGCACCTGCCTCGCAAGCTCAAGGTCCTGAGTTTAATCCTTGGTAGAAACACACACACACACACACATGTATTGTATGCTCACAGATATGTATTTTGAATCTTCTGTTCAATATTTTGAGCCTTTGGTGAATGTGAAAACCCTGACTTCCTCCTGGCCTTAGGGAATGCATAGTCATCCCTGGGTATCTGGGGGTGCTGTTCTAGGACCCCTTTCACTACTGACCAGAGTCAACAGATGCTCCAGACCCCATGCAGAATGGCACAATGTCTGTCATGTACTTTGTCACAACACTTCACGCAGTGTACATGCTCAAATTCCATTTTCTGAAATGATTTGCCTTCAGCATTGCCATCCGTGGCTGCTTGAGTCTGTGGCTGGGGAACCTCGGAAAGGCAGCTGTACCTGGTCGACTCTCCACGAGGCCCGGAAATGCAGTCCTGTACCTCAGCTGTGTCCAGATGTGCTTTGGGAAATGGTGGGCTGTGCTCGGTGCCCCACAAGGGGACATTCTTCTACCTGCTCTGATGTGAAGAGAGGTTCATGCCTCCGAGTGGTCCAGGCCTTCTGAGAATTCTCCCCACCAACTTGTGAGGGGAGCATGGTGAAGTACAGAAGCAGAGCGAGGCTTTGCAGCCGAGATGGCTGTGTCCTCTGCCTGGCTGTGGGAGGCTGCATTCTGGCAGCTGCTGTCCCTGTCTCAGGCGAGGCCCCCTCCCCCGCCTAATAGAACAGCGACGCCCACTTTCCAAGGCTGGCTGTAAATATTCCATGAAACCACGTATGTAAAGGGCCTGACACAAAGAAGGGACTCTGCGCGCATTAAGACTTCAGCCTCGTTTCTTTGTGTTTCCTCCAGAGGCCCTTTGCGGGTCGCACTCACGTTCTGAAGGGAGTGTGAGGGGTAAGTCCTGGGATTTCCTAAACCCCGGCTCCCACATTTGAATTTTCTGCCTTCCCCAGAGATGAGAGATATGCAGTGAGGAGCCTGTCCCGGGGGCTGGCCCACAATGCCTAGTGGTGTTGGTCCCCTTGGCCCCTGGCAAACACAGCAGTGCCCCCTCTAGACTCGAGGTGAAACCTGGTGCTCCTTTCCCAACAGGTTTCCTGGAAAGTGCATCCCACGAACTCCAGAGTTCTAGTACTGAGCCTGGTGCCACCGGCTTTGGCTTCTAGTCACAGCTGGGGGACCTTGGGGCGGGGCAGAGAAGTTTCTGTATTCAGCTGCCCAGGCAGAGGAGAATGGGGTCTCCACAGCCTAAAGAATGAAGACTCGACAGAATAAAGACTCAGTGAGTGGGAACTAAGGCAGGAAAGATGAGGGGCAGGAGGGCAGAGGGAGGGGCTGGAGATGCACAGGTGATGCATTGACGTTGCCTGCCTCTTCCCCTCAGATGTCAATGAGGAGTGGACGGAAGAAAGAGGCCCCTGGGCCCCGGGAGGAGCTGAGATCGAGGGGCCGGGCCTCCCCTGGAGGGGTCAGCACGTCCAGCAGCGATGGCAAAGCCGAGAAGTCCAGGCAGACGGCCAAGGTATTCTGCCCCAGGTGCCCAGGTCCTCCGGGATTCCCTGCAGGGCGCCCCCATCCGGTGCCAGGATGCAGAGGGTGCCATGAGGCTGGAGGGAAATGACAGAACTCTCCCTCACAGAAGGCTCGAGTAGAGGAAGCTTCCACCCCGAAGGTCAGCAAGCAAGGCCGGAGTGAAGAGATCTCAGAGAGTGAAAGTGAGGAGACCAGTGCCCCGAAAAAGACCAAAACTGAGGTGGGGGACCTTGCTGCCATCCTGACCCACGTTCTGATCATTCTTTCCCCAAACTTTCTTCTACTTTGAACTTTGCTGGGATATGGAGAAAAGCTATACCTCACTGCTTATTAAATGTCCACAATGTCAGACATCTTGAGGGCTTTGATCAGACATGAATGACCAGGCAGGACTGCAGGGGACTAGAAGAATTGGAGGCTCACAGGCTGAGAAATCTTAGTAGTGGAAGGAACAAACCATAAGGAGCCAGGCGTGGTGGCGCACACCTGTAATCCCAGAACTCAGGAGGCTGAGGCAGGAGGATTGCCATGGGTTCAAAGCCAGCCTGGGTTACATAGTAAGTTCAAGGCCAGCCTGAGCTACATAGCAAGACCCTGTCTCAAAAAAACCAGCCATACAAAACCTCATAAGGAGAATGCAGAAGTGTTGTGTTTTTTTTTTTTTTAGAACCAAGGGTTTGGAGGATGGTTAAAAGGGCCAGTTAGCTGTGAGAGGGGTAGGTACAAGGAAGAAGGATTTGGAGCTGTGGAGAGGGAGAAGATACTTGGGATTGACAAGGAGGGTGACAAGTGGCAGCTGGGGGGGTGTGCGGGTAGGAGGTGAACCCAGAGTTGGGAGGTGGCTTGAGCAGTGGGGGCTCTGTGGAGGGCCCCAGTCTTGGCCTTGAAGGAAAGGGAAAGAACACGGCCCTCCCCTCTGCAGCAGGAGCTCCCTCGGCCACAGTCCCCCTCGGACCTGGACAGTCTTGATGGGCGGAGCCTGAATGATGATGGTAGCAGTGACCCAAGGGACATAGACCAGGACAACCGCAGCACGAGCCCCAGCATCTACAGCCCCGGCAGCGTGGAGAACGACTCGGATTCCTCTTCTGGCCTGTCCCAGGGCCCGGCCCGGCCCTACCACCCACCTCCACTGTTTCCTCCCTCCCCTCCGCCACCAGACAGTACCCCCAGACCGACAGAGCCTGGCTTTGAACCCCATTCCTCTGTGCCACCCTCTGGCTATCATGCTCCCATGGAGCCCCCTGCACCCCGAATGTTCCAGGCTCCTGGGGCCCCTCCCCCTCACCCCCAGCTCTACCCTGGGGGGTCAGGCGGAGTTTTGTCTGGACCTCAAATGGGCCCTAAAGGGGGAGGGGCTGTCTCTTCGGTGGGGGCCCCTAGTGGGGGCAAGCAGCACCCCCCACCCACTACCCCCATTTCCATACCCAGCTCTGGGGCCAGTGGTGCTCCCCCGACAAAGCCTCCCAGCACCCCCGTGGGTGGCGGGAACTTAGCCTCTGTGCCGCCACCAGCCACTTTCCCCCACGTGACCCCAAACCTGCCTCCGCCTCCTGCCCTGAGACCCCTCAACAATGCCTCAGCCTCTCCTCCTGGCCTGGCTGCCCAGCCAGTCCCTGGGCATCTGCCCTCTCCCCATGCCATGGGCCAGGGCATGGGTGGACTTCCTCCCGGCCCCGAGAAGGGCCCAGCTCTGGCACCCTCACCCCACCCTTTACCTCCTGCTTCTTCCTCTGCCCCAGCGCCCCCAATGCGGTACCCCTATTCCTCCTCCAGCAGCATCTCTGCAGCAGTCTCCTCCTCCAGCTCTTCTTCCTCTTCCTCTGCCTCCCAGTACCCAGCTTCCCAGGCCCTGCCCAGTTACCCGCACTCCTTCCCTCCCCCGACCAGCCTCTCGGTCTCCAATCAGCCTCCCAAGTACACACAGCCTTCGCTCCCGTCCCAGGCCGTGTGGAGCCAGGGTCCGCCCCCACCCCCTCCCTATAGCCGCCTCTTGGCCAACAGCAGTGCGCACCCAGGCCCCTTCCCTCCTGCTGGGGCCCAGTCCACGGGGCACCCCCAGAACCCCGCACATCACCACCACCACCAGCAGCCGCAACCGCAACACCATGGAGGCTCTGGGCCCCCGCCCCCGGGAGCCTACCCCCACTCTCTGGAGAGCAGCGGCTCCCACCACGCACACCCCTACGCCATGTCTCCGTCCTTGGGGTCCCTGCGGCCCTACCCTCCGGGGCCAGCACACCTGCCTCCAGCCCACGGCCAGGTGTCCTATAGCCAGGCGGGCCCCAGCGGCCCCCCGGTCTCCTCCTCTTCCAACTCCTCCTCTTCCTCCTCTCAAGGGTCCTACCCTTGCTCACACCCCTCCCCTTCCCAGGGTCCCCAGGCGGCGCCCTACCCCTTCCCCCCGGTGCCTCCGGTGACCACCTCCTCGGCCACCCTTTCTACGGTCATCGCCACCGTGGCTTCCTCGCCAGCGGGCTACAAAACGGCCTCCCCCCCCGGGCCCCCCCCCCCC